CCTGCTGCCATCTGGACCCTTCTAGATTACTGCAGCCTTGCCTGACTGACAGGACCTGCCTGATTATTTGGTAAAGGACTAATTTCATCCCAGAAACCAGGGATTGTCACCTCCTGATATTAGGATGACTGAAATTGATGGTGATTAAAATTCCTGTGGATTTTGAAGGGAAATTGAGCTCATAGGAAAGGGGGAGACCCCCTACTTCAGGCATATTCCTACCACTCCCATGGCAGCATGGCTCCCTGGACCCAGAGAGACAGTGGGAGCACTGCATAGAGGAGCAGCAAGCCAGCCTCAGGTCAGCCTGGCCAGATGGGCTGCTGCCACCACTTTCCTAGGAGTAAGGCAGGTGGCCCAGCCCCTCACTAACAGGTGCCTTTGTGAGCCCAGCTCATCCAAAAAGATTTCCAGCCTGGCTCAGGCTAGCAGGTGCTCCCACTGCACTCCTCTTCCCAGCCTCATCTGTAGGCAACAGGAAAGTTCAAGAGACTTCTGGGAAGCAAGATAACTAGTTAGAATCCACAGGTAGGACAGAAACACAGCTTGAGACCACTCCCTGTTCCCTGTATGATTCTGGAGAAACTAGGTTGGAGGGGGCAACCTGCAATTGTCCCAGAAGGAAACAGTCTGGTTTCCTGCTCCATCTAGCAGTAGACTTCACCAACAGGGAGGAACCCTCCAAGGTGACTCTCAAAGCTGGGAGCCAGAATGTGTGCAGGTGTGATGTGGACCTATGACAGACATGTACCCTGCGGTTGCTGACTTTTTGTCCCTCCGCTGGTTGCTGACTTTTTGTCCCTCCGCTAACTCCTTAAAGTGTGACTGGCTCTAACTTTATTGCTCTACTGGGCGTTTTATTGTCTATCTTCTTGTGTGTCTGTTCCAAGATGACTTCCGGAAGCTGACTCAGGTCTCCTCCTAGATAGCATGAAAACATTAACCTGTTCATCCTGGGGCTCCTTCAGCCATCCCCAAACTGGTGACAAGACCTTTATGGATTTTAAGGAAATCTAAATTGGGTAAAAAGGATACAGTCTCCTTTATCAAACAGTATTTAAAAACCATCCCTCATCTAAAGCACAAAACTCATTTTACATATTCTTCTCATAGTCCAGGTCTTATTTCAACAGAAATTTTCTGATATACATTAAATATAATGTGAAAAATCAGTCCCAGGTTGGGGACTGGTAAAGAACAAATTTTATGGCTTTTTCTCCAGACTCAGCATGGAATCATCAGAGATCCTTGGAGTCTATGACATTTCAGTGAGACACTCTGTATTATTTTTTAGATATTTATTTTTTAGGTGTAGATGGACACAACACAGTGCCTTTATTTTTATGTGGTGCTGAGATCCTTGGAGTCACTGACATTTCAGTGAGACACCCTGTATTAATCAAGAGTTCTCCAGAGAAACAGAACCAGTAGGCTACATGGGGGAGGGTGGAGGTGTGTATGTTACATGGAATTTACTTATGCAGTTATAGAAGCCAAGAAGTCCCATTGTCTGCCACCTGCATGCTAGAGACCCAGGAAAATGGGTGACAATTATAATTGAGTCCAAAAGCCTGAGAATCAGGAGTCACTGGTGAAGGGTCAGAGAAAATGAGATGAACCATTCAAGCTGAAGAGTGAGGCAGGAAAAAGAGGGGGTGAATTCCTCCTTTCTCTACCTTTTTTTTTTCCAGGCCCCAGTGGACTGGATAATGCTCACCCATGTTGGGGAGGACAATCTACCTTATTGAATCCACCATTCAAACAAATTTCATCAGAGACATTCTCACAGGCACACCCAAGATGATGTTTAATCTGGGTATTCTGTAGCCTTGTCAAGTTGACATAAAATTAACTATCACATCCTCCTGTCTTATCTCTCGCCCTCCTAACCCAGACAAATCTGTCCTTCCCCACAAAAACAGAAATGTGTCTAAGCCAAAGAAACTCACACTCCTGGTTGCTTTGAGGTGACTCGAAATGCTGGGTTCTTGCAGGGATCAATTATATGCACTATCCAGAGAAAATGACTAAACCTTTCAGGTTCTCAGCTGCGCTGGTTTTAGGGGGACAGCAGTCCCTCTCCTTACTTCGTGATCTTTTTGCAAAGATTTTTGTGTTTTGAAGCTAGAACCTAAGACAGGGAAGTTCTGCTCAGTGGCCATAGCAACCCAAACTGGTCTCAAGGCCAGGGCTAGGAACCACTCTTATCTCCCTCTTCACCCAGGGCCAAGGAGAGAGCCTCAGCAGTGACTTTTCTGGATTTGGAGACTGGGGCTGTGAGGAAGTTAGAATTGCAGAGAAAACAGGACCAGGAAGGCCACCACTCAGGATCAACAAAGGGATAGAAAAGGTGTTGGGGGTAGGTTATGGATGAATAGAAGTACTGGTGTCACTGGATGGCCGCAGATCAGGAGAGAGGAGCCCTCTGTCTGGTCTCTGGGCCTGCAGTGTCGAGTCAGAGTGAAGCTATCTTGTGTTTTCAGCCCTGGGGCCTCTCCTGGAGCCCAGGTTATCATGTGGCTGTCTTGCTATTCAGGAATGTGGAGACCTGAGTTTTGCTTGTTTCATCCCTACCCTTCAGGAAACCGTCCTCCAGAGACCCAGGCATGGTTAATTGAGAGGAACCCTTTTATCTAGTCCCATAGGAACTTTGTTGAGAAATTCCCTGCAGAGTTCCTCAAGCTCTTCTGAGGTTGGGCTCCTGACCTACCTATTATCTCATTATCAAGCAGTATGACTAGGCTCACTCCATAAATGCACATTAAATTCAGAGATGTCCTTCCTGTACAATTGTGGCTGACTCTCCCTTCCCTGAATGTCTGTCTCCTCCCATGCTCTCCTAATTCCTCTTTTGGGGGCTTAGAATAAAATAAAGGAACAAATTTTTTCCTACATACATAGACCTTTCTCTAGTGGTCAGATCAAATGGCTTAGCAATAATTAAGCTTTCACAAACTTTTTTTTTTAAGTTGTAGATGGACACAATACCTTTTTATTTTATTTATTTATATGTGGTGCTGAGGATCGAACCCAGTGCCTCACATGCTAGGCAAGCGCTCTACCCCTGAGCTACAACCCTAGCTCCTCCACAAATGGTTTTAAAAACAACCTCCTCTGTGACTCCCTCAGGTCTTCAAATAAATTCTTACATTTGGGTGTCAACCAAAGACCTTCTTAGTCTGTTATGCCACTATAACAAAATAACCAAGATTGGATATTTTTTAAAGAACAGAGATTTATTTTCTCACAGTTCTGGAGGCTAGGAAGTCCAAGATCAGGACAGCTGGTTCAGTGTCTGGTGAGGGCTTGGTCTCTTTCCAGACTAGTGCCTTCAGTGTGATACTAAAAGAGGCAGAAGGGTAAAAGGGGCTTAAATAGTTCCTCCAGTTCCCTTTTTTAAGGTACTGATCACCTCCCAAAGGACTCACCTCTTAATCCTGTTGCTTTAGGGATTAAGTTTCAACCTGAATTTTGAAATAGTAAAGGCAATCACCTTTTCAGGGGACATTTTTCAATAGTAGCTTCTCTCAAAAGGCTGAGTGAGTGGTCAAAGTCCTTCTTCATTTCTATATCACTTGTCAGATCTGTGAGGGACATTCAGCAGACTCCTGATATGCAGTCTTCCTAGAGTGGGAATGGCCACAACAGATGAAGAGCAGATGTTGGAGTGGCCTGATCCTGTATCGGATGTGCAAGGTCTTCCAACTGGATGGAAGTAATAAGACACAGCAAATGCTTTGGAAGGAGTAAAGCAGGAAGGAGGTGCTGCCAGGAGACACCTGAGAACAAATCAAAAAGCACAGGAATTGTCTTCCACAGGCGTTTCACATATTCATTAAGGAAAGTGATAAACTTATTAGATAAGCAGGTAAATACACATGTTCATTGATAAATATTTGTTTTATTGGCTCCTCTTGATTGCATGGCCACAGGTGCCATTCTGCTATGGGAGAATACTCTGAACTTAGAGCGCTGTCGTGGTTAAGCCTGAACTATGTGGGTTAAAGAACATCAAGGCTGAGTATTAAGAGCTATAATTCGTGAGCTGCCTTATATAATGCTGGGCTTAAAGCCAAGGATTTAACCATTATGAAAGCTTTTAAAAGTTAAAAAATAATCTTAATTCTGTCATATATTAGAGTGACATAATAGACCCAGTGTCCCAACCATGACTTTGAAGATCCTTAGCTACATGTAAGCTGCCTAGGCATTTTATTGTTGGCTACGGTGTACTTTCGTAGGCAGATTATATTCATTTAACTCAGTTATTTCATATCTTTCCTTATACTTCAGCCTCTAGGATATGTTGCAAATGAAAGCAGAGAATGACCTGACAGGCTCATCTTAGAGTCACAGATAGCACTGAACAAAGTATTGAAATGGCATCCCGCCCTGCTCAGATGAGTCCTTGCTTTGTAATGAGGCGCCAGGAATGTAAAGAGGCAGTGTTTTAAAAGATGTCAAGATATGTTATGGCTTCATACTTGCAAAAAAAAACAGGATGAATTAAATATCCCCAGACTATGTTAATGAATAACCTGGTATTCAAAGTACTGGTGCCAAGTTTGAAGAGTATGTTTGTTCATGTGGAGATGAACATCACTAGGGACCAAATCCTGACTAAAATTCAACGTTCTATTCATCAAAACTATAAACCCAATTTTTTCTAAACCTAGCTTCCAGTTTTTTCTTTTCTTTTTTAGTTGTCAATGAATCTTTATTTTATTTATTGTTATGTGGTGCTGAGGATCGAACCTGGTGCCTCACACATGCTAGGCAAGCGCTCTGCCACTGAGCCACCACCCCAGCTCTCCCAGTTCTTAATATTCTGCCCTGAATTTAAATGCAGACAAAAGATCTATCATTAATCTTCATCCTCTTTCAAAATTTACATAATCTTGATAGGTTATAAAGGAATTCACAGAATAGCTTTCCTTGTGAGATGAAGAGGAAAGAGAAAAAGAGTTTGATGTAAATCAAGTAAAAACACAACTCAAATGTTCCAGGTGCACAGTGAAAAAGTTTATTTATGACAGATTTCAAAACTTGGAAGAGAAGACAAAGAAATGCACAATAGCATCACAAAACTGTTACATAATATAAAAACACTGAGAACTGAGCTATTTAAAGAACCATAGCTCAGGATCATCACTGTATCACAGCAACACACTCAATGCCACAGGGTGATAAAATATGGTATTGTAAAAGAAAAACCTCTCAGCAGGACACAAGACTCAAATACAATTTGGTACAGAGTTCTTAACGTGAAAATTATAGGAAATATTGACAGCATTTCTCATGAGGGTGACATGTAAAACAAGTTGATAAATGATTAATGATAAATGATAAACGATTAATGATAAATGATAAACGATACTTTTGTATAAAAAAGACAAAACTGTGATACAGATTTCCTTCCAGACCCCTTTTGTAAATTCAGCATCAGTGAATGATGTAGCACAGTACGGAAAGAACATCTTCGTGGTTGCCAATTGCTTAAATATTTATCAGGAAAACATGATCGCTTTTCAATCAACTGATAAATCTGAGTGATGGCACGAAAGCAGGACCTCCAGAAACGTGAGCTACATGCTGTGCAGCAGTGGTTTAGGAAATCTTCAAGCACCTCCCTGCACTCCCATCATCCATTCCCAGTCTGCTTTCTTCTAGTCCATCACTCTGACTACACGCATTTGTAAATGCTTTCATTTTTTTTACAAAGCATCCCAGCGTTTCCTCTGGGAATTTCAAAACACTTCCCATTGTTATTAAGGAAATATGGATACACCAGAGTCATGGGTCATGGGATTGCTTTCTCCAGACTTGACTTGTTCTTTAACATAACTAAATGGAAATAACTCAACTGGATTAAATAAAAGCTAATTCACTTATGGGACAATAATTTCAAAAAGGAACACAATAGTATTTTTAACAGAAAATTTCTTAGTAAAATGTACTATTCAGGACATGAGAGAAGGAATTAAGATAATGATTTCCAGATGATTCCTGGCCTGAACCTAAGAATCAACAATGACAGTCAATAACAAGGAGCATTACGGATGAGGCATTTCAACCCTGAGTGATGAGGAGAGTTCAGGAAGAGCCCCTTAAGTTGACAGTGAACTGTGGGCTCTTTGGCAATACTATGTACTATGATATTTCAACCCAAACTTCAGAATTCTTCATGAACCTGTATCAGAACTTTAGAAAATATGCTTTGTCCCTGAAAGTCATTTCACCTAATTTTTCATCCTCAAGCCAAAACTATCTTCTTAAAATGATACAAAAAACTGAAATTTCATCAAGTAGCCTATGTGTCTAGATTTCTAGGGCACCTTTTCATCATATCTTAGGATGAAAAAAAGCCATGACGGTATCTGTGGCACAAATGCCTTGGGCCTAGAAGAAATTCAAGGTACGTAAAACAGAAATCAGATAATGAGTTCAAACCAGTGGCCAGGACTACAGACAACGTCACAGCCAGTGTCTTGCCCTTGGACTTGGTTTGTGAGGAATGTCAATTTATAAATGAACCATACCATCTATACTACTGCAGTCTGCAGACTATTCATTGTATTTCCTTAGCTTGGAGATAAGGGATTCAAATAGGAGAGGTTCTATGTAACCTTCTTGGTTCAAGCAGGAACAATGAGACACTTCAGAGGGAGCAGTGATTCTGAAACCTGCTTAACAAAGTTTCTCTTTGGGTCACAAATTCTGCCCTAACCTCACCACCTAAATAATGGGATGTACTTGGGAATGCCCAGAAGTGCTAGATGGATTAGATAGAGCAAAAGACAGCCACTGACCTTCACCTGACACACACAGCCAAAGCAGTACTTGCCTGTCTCCTCCCATTCCCATAGAGGTCACCAGAGGCAGAGCACTGGATCAGTGGAAAGCAAACACCCAGGTGTGAGTGATTTTCTTTTATACCAGGGATCAAACCCAGGGTCACTTAACCACTGAGCCACATCCCCAGCACTTCTTTTTTATGTTTTAATTTGAGTCAGCGTCTCATTAAATTATTGAGGTTAGTTTCAAATTTGTAATCCTCCTGGGATTACAGACGTGTGCCACCGCACCTGGTATCTCATGACTGATTTTCAATACTCATTCCCTACTTTCTCCCAAAGAAGCACATTCAGTAGCTCCCTGAGCACAATCACAATGAATACAAGGACCTACTCTCTGTCAAACAGTCTTCACAAGCCTTCCTCCTAAAACAGCAACGGAGTTACCTTCCTTCCTTCCACCAGGCAGGTTCACTTTCTATCTTCAACCACCTTGACTCTGCAGGGGTGGTAGGCTTCTTTATTGCGACAAATTTTGGTTTCTAGGCATTCTTCACTTTGGGCAATGTGGAAAGAAACTTAAAGAGGTTGCTGTGGATCTTTTAGCCCCAGGAAAAACTATTAAGTAGAAAGTTTAATGGGGGAAGAATGAGAGTAGCCTGCTGTACTCGGTACCCTGTGTCTGCCCATCCAACACAGGCTAACCATGTCCCTGTGGTCGGCCTGTGGGGGTCTATGTGTTACCCAAACCCCCTCCTGTAGTTCTAGGCTCATCTGTGATGTTGGTCAAATGACCATCCCCTTCTTGGCCATATTCAGACCACATCTGGAACTGACTCCTCTAAGCCTCTCTCTAATTCTACCATTTTTTCCATGGCACTAAATACTTTTAAATCCCAAAGAACAGAGAGATGAAATGAATCCTCACGTCAGGATTACACTTAGCAGAGGAGACCTACTAGTGGTCCTGTTGCAAAAGTCAGCAAATTGGGCTTGGGAATCCCCAAGAAAGCACAAGGAAACCAAGAAAGCTCCTGGCTTAGAGAATAATTCCAGTGAATGAAATGCAACTCAAACATTCAATGAAATGGGATAGGAGTAAAATCCCAGGATATATTCCATAGCTCTGCTCTCCCTCCTGTTTTATCCTGATAGCACTCCTTTTGATCAATTTAAAAGGCAGTTCTCAAGCCACACAAAACTGTTTACCTTGCACCCCTGCCACCCTCTGCTAGAACTAGTCTTTCATGTAAATACAGAGTCCCTCAGCTCCATACCTTACAACCACAGACTGAGGTTAAAGGCAACTTTTTGCAGAAAAGTGGTCTTTAAAAATAAAATATAAAAACACAGACTTTAGGGCTTGGGATTCACCTAATTCTCTCAAAGAGGGAGAGAATTAGGTGGGGCTTATCAAAATACAAAATTTGTATACTGTGAATTTCACAATATATAATCCCATTGATTAATAAAAGGCAGCAAGCTTATGAATTTAACTCTTCTATATCCCTACTAAAACGAAATAATACTTTTTAAAAAAGTTCATTTTGCTTTCCTAAATAGATTAAAATATTTTAAAAAGCATACAAATCAATTAATTAAAAATTAAGCATAGTCTAATTTCAAGTTGCTACCTACTTTAGTGATAAAGGAGGATTGAGTTTGAATTTCAGAGTCCTGAGGGTGTATCATAAAGCAATAGAGATTAGAATCAAGTCTTTCCAGAGCAGCCTCCCAGTTACCCTCACACTGAAATGCCAGTTAGAGGGAACGGTGGCAGAAATCATAGCCTGAGGGAAGGCAGAAAGACAGCATGAATTTTGAAAGATGAAAAAGAAAAAGAACCATTATTGTGAAGGCCACGTCTCAGGTAATCCATGTTGAATGAAACTGGTCTGCTAAAAACCAGGGGCACCCTGACACAGGAGAGCTGGTGCTCTCTATGCAGGGAACATTCTCTAACTGGATACTTGTCAAAAGCACAAAAAGTTAGAATCATCTTTATTTAAAATTAGCACTTTATGATTTTAAGATCTACATGGCATGTGTGTATGTTTATATTTAATTTTGTTTACTGAACTTTTTCATAGTAAAATGTTGGAAAAATCAACTTTAAATAGAACTTCCTTTCCAAATGCCCCATCTATCAACAAAGTAGGAAAATGAAACGGACTGAAGAAATTTTAGAACTCAACTATTCTGTGTGGAGAATTCCAAGATCTGCCCTACAGACTTTCTTCCAAACTGTTTGTTAATATTTACTTGAGCTCCCGAGAATAGAGTGAGAGTGACAGCCAGGGATCTTCATTTCACTGTTTGATAAACATGGATAAGGACAGCCTGAGGAAGTGGCCACCTTTTAGAATTCGATGGGCTGTGGGTTCTCAAGTAATTTTACCTGTGCTTTAGTAAATAACTTTTGTCTCTAAAGTTCAATTATTCCAAAAATTTAATATGAGAATAGTAAATGCATTAGACTGTGAGATTATCTTCTTTTAGCTATTTGTACTAATGAAACCAAGAAACACTATGGAGGAAAAAACAGTAAGGAATGCCCAGGACTTTGAAATGACCAGACAATAGCAGGCACATAGAGGTGATGAAAACAAGTCCCTCATGGTTCCCTGATACAACAGAACCAGGATTCCAAAGAAAATAAGCAAAGAGACTCTCATGACAAAAATAAAAAAATAAATGGTGCATGTTATCCCTGGGAGCTTGCTACCTGTGACCTGATAGCTCTATATTGAGATAAAGTCATAGGTTCATAATAAACAGGAAAAAATAAGCAAGGCTTTCAACGACTGAAAAACAGCTCAGTAGAAAATTATTTTACAAAGACCATATTTGATTAGCTAAGGCATGATTCAACTTCATGATGAAAGAGTGGCCACAAAGCTATGTAACGAATGACCCATGACATATTTGCTCTCCACTGCCCAAACAGTCACTAAAATAATTTCTTACAAGATATATTAATGTTGGCCAGTGTGATCCTCTACAAAACACATATGCAGTGGAGGTATGATGCCACTCAAGAGAACGGAATGCCATGGCAATCCACAACACCCTATCCTACTTTCGGCTTTGCTCCCAGGAGAACAGAGGCTTAGGACTCATGGTCCTTTGTTCCTGACATAGACACTATTACAGACCTACTGGGAGGAGTCTTGCTGTTCAAGTGACCACTCCTGTAGGAGGATAGGCTTGGGGTGAGGAACCCACACAACAAAGGAATGAGCCAAAGAAAACATCATGAAAAGGTGTCAGAGGAGGCAAAGGACTTTGAAATCCTGGAATCACAGTGATTGGCTAGTCACTGATTGGCTAGTCAATTCCTCTGCACTCAATTCCCAGAGAACAAGTAGGCTCCCTCGCCATTTAGAACTCCTCACAGGAGTGCTGGACTGCACCTACACGTGGGGCAGGCTGCAGTCATCCATCTCTGAAGGGGCAGATGCCTCCCAGAGCATCACAGGACTGACCTGTAGGAATGAACATAGTCACCTCCCAAATTCTCCTACAATTATTTTTAACTCTATAGAAGAGGTGGCCTCAGTGGCTCAGAGCAGATGGGAAAGCCTTCTGAGAAACAGAAGAAACTGTTTCAAAGGCAAAAATGAAATGTGCTTAAAAAATAAATAAATAAATAAATCTAATTATTCAAAATTCAACGGGAGTAACAGACTTCACACAGGAACAAGAAACAAAGAGGAACAGATGACTGCTGGAGTCCTGGCCTCACCCTGTTCTCCTTCTTCCCCAGAGGCCCTGGCACCCGGGGGCTGCTTGCTGCAGCACCATAGCACTCTGGCATTCGTAGGCCTCGGGGTGAACAGAGTGAGGAAGGCTGTCACCAGGTGCAAGCTTTGGTCAGGTAAAGAACATGTACAATCAGCAGCAGTCCCTTTCCTAAGGGACTTCGAACACCAAAAGCTTTTAGCCCTCAATACAAAAAACCCTAAATCCAGAAACTTTGAAAATCTGATTGGGTTTCACTGCATTTAATTCCAAACCAAACAAACAAACAAACAAAAAAATGTGGTGGAGGAATCTGGAGTGTTTTTTTTTTTTCTTTTTTAAACCTCTCTCTGATGATATCCCTCTTTCTTGGATTAAATTTTTAAAAAATTGAGTAACACTAGAATTTCAAGGGTGGATTCCAAGATCAATTCAGTATCTAATTTCCACCCTTTCTGCATCAACTGCCAGTGGCCTTGGTAAGGGAAAGTAGCTCTTGGAACAGAAAGTGATAGAGCCCATTTTTCCTCCCAGAAGATCTTAGGTTACACTGATCATCACTTTAGATTGCATGAAAGTTCTTGCTGCATGGCAAAAACACAGACTTAGGAAAGAGAAAAAAGGAGGGGTCTAGCCATCAGGAATAATAGTACCCCTCCAAGGCAGTGAGGTCTCGCAGCCTGTGCTAGAGAACAAGAATACCCAGCAGGCAGGAATATGGCAGTGGTGAGAGGATGGACAGAGCTTTTTCTGTCCAAGACACTGGGCTCCTTCATGGGCAATGTGCTTTTCCCTCTTCTGGCACCTTAAAAAGTAAAAAGGGTGGGTGCCACTGAACACATTGGGATATAGGCTCTCAAGAGGAGCAAGCAGCAACCTGACTGATAAACCTTGTACCAACACCAATCTATTTGTAAAAGACATCATCCTACTTCCTTTGAGACTTTTGTCTGATAGGTGCCTTCAAAGAGGGATTTGCTGGCATCTGAAGCAACAAGAGCATGAGTCAGGGACCACAGAACAGGGGACTACACCACCACCTGCAGAAGCCAAGAAGGGGAAAAAGCTACACGGGGTCAACAGTCAGGCATGCCAGGCAGGACGTGAGGCTCAGGAGCCTCCTGCGGAACTTTCAGCTCTTGTCTATCTAAAACAAGAGGCTCCGGCTGGCAGCCTGCGTCAGCCAGCAAATACAGCCTGCCCTCTGTCTCAGCAGTCCTTCAGCTAGTATAGTAGATATGGAAGTAGAGAGTCTTGTTGCGTAGCAGAGAGTAGGAGTTGTCAAACTTGAGCAGGTAGATACCCTCACCAGGGTAGTCATGGCTGCCAGCCTGCACATCTCGGTGGCTGTCCCGCCGGTACACAGGCATGACTTCCCCATAGCGACCCCGTAGGGAACTCCTGGAACCTCTCTCCACATCTCCCACTGGGACAGGTTCTGCAGAAGCAAACAGCAGTATTTGGATATGAGTTCAGAGATGAACACATCCTACTAGATGGTGAGATGATGAGCCAGGGAACCTCATGATTTCAGTGAGAAGGGGAGGTGCCTTTGGCTTCCTATTATAGGGAACTGAAAAATGTCTGGTGATTTTTTTTTTTTTTTTTTGGTCAAAACAGTGACTACTGAGTGACACTGGCGTTTAGTGCTCCAGGTGCAGGAGTGCTAAAGTCAGGCTACCTCTATAACAAAGTAGTGACCCATCCCAAATGCCAATAATGTCTACACTGAGAAACAGTGAGTTAGCCTGATGAGCTCCAAACGTGTCTGGGTATTTCTGAGGAGTAGAATGACATATTTAGATGGGAATATCAAGAAATTCTTTCATTCAGTAGGTGAAAGGACTAGCCAACATGAGTAGGAAATGCAGATAAACATGTTGTACAGAGAGACTCCAAAACTTCCACTTGGTTTCCTAAAAACCGGCAAATAAGACATAAGGTTCTTCTCTAAATACCTGTAGATTTCCTTGCAGACGCAAAGAAGCAAGCTAAGGAACTGATTTTAAGATTCTATAAAAAAAAACTACAAAAAACAGCTAAAGCTTAGAATCTACTCTTAGATTACCTCCCCCCTCAACATATCTCAGGGCCATCGTGAGTAAACACTACAAGTAACAGCTAGAATGGAGCAGACTACTTTTTTCTTTTTCTTCTTCTTGCACACAGAACTGAGGATTGAATACAAGGGCACTCTACCAGTGAGCTACACACTAGCCCTTTTTACTTTTTTTATTTTGAGACATGGTCTCACTAAGTTGTCCAGGCTAACCTTGAACTCCTAGCTTTCTGAGTAGCTGGGATTACAGGTGTGCAGCACCACACCCAGCTCAGATACTACTTTTAAACTGCTCTAGCCATGAAGTGAGTAGTCAGACAGCTAAGACAGTTTGCATGGAAAAAAAAAAAGGGTACATTTAGCAAATTCACTCAGTTTGGCTCCATGTTAAAAATAAATAGCCCTAAAATAAGAGAGAAATGAAACATAACTTCAGGTTTCCACGTGATGTGAAAAACCCAGCTTCTACATACAGAAGCAGTGACTCCTCTCTCTCTGCTCCAACCCTATAGCCACCCCCAGAAAAAAGGTTGAGGAAACAATTAGGTACTGATTAAAAGGAAAGAAAATTTCAGCTAATGCATCAATACCAACCCTACTGGAATGTTCTCTGAGGGTCTGACTTTGGCCCGCACCTTTTAACTTTAGCTTGTGATGCTGGATTCTGTGCCCACAGTGCTACTGGATCCCTTCACACCTGCATTCTAAGGAGGACTGCTACAACCCAAGAAGTAGTCACTAGAAGTCAGGCTAAGGTAGAAATGAAAACTGCAAATTATGTTAAAATTAAATTTACCTTCAATTTCCTCCTCCTCTTCTTCTTCTTCATCCTCTTCCTCACTGGAATCACTGACCTGCACAGTTATATCAGTGCTGGTTACAGGGGTCCAGTCAAAATAAACTCCAAAGCCAATGTCATAGTCATCAGTTGCAAACTCCCAGCAGACACGCTTCCCCTCTGGATGAGTGGGTACCCGGATGGTCACCACCTCACCCCGTTTCACCACCAGACGGCTGTTCTTCTCTTTGCCCAGCTTGCTTTTGAATTCCTTCACCTTGGCAAAGGTCCAGATGCATGGAGGAGCCATCAGAGGTGGGGAAACTGAAAGGACAGGAAGTGTGCTATTGGAAAACTGTGGAGAAATGCTCCCACACCCAGAATTTTGCTTAGGGAGGTTGCCACAAAGACATTCTTGCTATTGGCTTCTCTCACTTCTTTTCATAAGTCATTTTCTTCCCTTCCATCTGCCTACCTTTCTTTATATGTCTATTAGAAATTTAAAAAAACATTTTCTGTATTTCTAGAGGTCTTACCTCTCCTGTGGTCCCCCAGAAGATCTGCAGATTCCAAATCAGCTGAAAGAACATCAATAGCTCCTGTATGCTCAGACTGGATCATAACAATGTCTCCAGACCTTTGTGGAACTCGGTACTTGGCCATCTGCACATCAGAACTCTGGTTAAAGGACACGCTGACGTGGCAGATTCCAATTAACCTCTTTCTAAATGAAAGTGAGCCCCCCCTCCCCTATTTCTCCCAGTACCCCAATTTGAAGCTTAACATGCTATTCAATATTCCCTTTTTTTTCCAAGTACAAGTTGCTAATAAATTCTTCTTTTTCTAATTTTTTTTAAAGTATGAGTAATTGAACCCAGGAGTCACACGTGCTAGGCAAGTGCTCTACCACTGAGTTATATCCCCAGTCCTTTTATTCTATGTTTTTATTTTGATACGGGGCCTTGAAAGGTTGCCCAGGCTAACCCAGAGCTTGCCATCCTCCTGCCTCAGCCTCCCAAGTAGCTGGGATAGACACCACACCATGCTAAATTCTACTTTAAAAGAAAAATGTTCCCTGGGTTAAAAATTCTTTCTTGTTCTTTCCTACCTTTTGCAATTTTACAGAAGTCTTTTTGCTCCATACCCTTTCACAATCCTTCCCCACAAACATCCTCTCAGCTTGCTCCTGCCTTTGGCATCCAGTGTTCTGGGCCATGCCTGGTCTCACCTTAGCCTGCATAGCACTTGTCTGTGGCTTCTCTCATGCCAGTGCTCCCATCATCTAGCTCAACTCCCACTCTGCCACACAGCCTCTGGCTACAAGATTTACTTCTACACTGAGGCTATGTCCCACTCAAGGGTTACTTCTATATGACTATCAGCCAGTTCAACAAAATGCTGCATAGAGAAACTGATTTCCAGTCTCAATCTGTTCCCCCTCCCTCTCATTTTCACTCTCCCTCTCTTTTCTTCTTCCCTCCCTCTCCTTCATCTACACCTCAAGCTCTCACCCTCAACATTACTATGTTCTATAAACAATTTCATCTTAGAGCAGCCCCAGGATTTGCATTTGAAGAGTGCTCTTGCTGCCCGATACCTGACATGTATGGACGAATACAAACGGCACTTGATACCCAAAGCCCTCGATAACCCATACAGTAGCCTACTATCTCTCTATGCTGGGTTTCCCTTCAAATCACTCAGACTGTTTCATGGTATTATGCCTTATTTCCTTCTCCAGCTGGGACACACCTACTGAAATCTACACCTACTGCCCACTGGGGAAAGTGCAGCAGCAAGTCAGCAATACAGTTAGGAGGCTGGAATTGTATTTGTGAGAAACAAATAAATCAAGTTTATGGTACATCCAGGCTAGGTTTTCACAGTATCTGTTTTGGCAGAATAAGCAATCCAGTTATTATCTCCATTACTAGATGAAGTGAATCAGACTTTGACTAGTGTGCTAAAGGAATCCTTCCTTTTCCAAAAGGTTGAACAACAGATTTCATTTGCAACTCATTTAGCTGCATAGCCATAGCCTCAGTTTCCTCATTTGGTAAAGGGGGTCACAATGGTATCCATCTTGCAAGGCTGTTCTCAGAATAGTGTTATAGATAAAAAACTTATGTAAACTATAAAGCATTATACAAATGTTATTATAATGCTTGCTGTTTTTATTAAATAGTGATTGTTATTATAATATCTATGCTAATAATAATACATACAATCCCTACCATCCATATCTCTATGGCAAGAAGACCTCTGTGGCAAGAGGACCACTGCTTACCAACACCACTTTTATAGAATCTTTACCATAAATACTAAGTAAAACTTCCACAGAAAAGTGAAACTAAAATAGTCCAATGCTAAGGTCCTTCACATCAAGAGGATTTTAGAGAACACTGAACACTTAACATTTCTTCCAAAACTTCAGTTTTTGAAAAGGTACCTATTATATGTTAATACAATTAACAGGCCCTGTGGGAGATACAGATAATCATTCACAAAACAATTAAGAGTGAAATGCTATAAAGGGAACAAAGAGAGAATTCTGGAAGCAAGGTCACTATGGTTTCTAACTCCAACCCTTCCATTATGTATCTAAATTTTGGTGCCCCAAACTCCTCTGTATGAGAGCGAGTCAGAATATGCTCCCTACCTGGTTGCGGACGTGGGCCTGGTCTGCAGGCAGCAAATGCTGTTCCACCAAAGCTGGAGCCTTGGAGGGATTAGTTGCTCCCTGCAGATCTTCTGTGGCATCCTTACTCACTGGACATACCATCTGTGGCCTCCCAGAAGAAGAGAGCATGTCAATTCAAGGGCTCTTCAGAAAGGCACAACAGTCTTGGAGAAACTCTGGAATAAAACAGGGTTCAAAGGACACCCCACCTCCACTCTCTGCCTTTGCATTTAGGTCCATTGTCACTTCAGCTCCCCGCTGCCAGGGGCTGAACTGGCCCACAGTAAGGCATTGACCACAAGTGGACACATGGACTGACAAAGCTAGGTCCCAGGCTCTGAGAACCATAGAAAACAGCTCCGTCATCTGACATGGATTCCCAGTCTGATTTTCTTTGTTGGTGTTATTTCTATTATTTATTTTAACAGACAAATAAAAATTGTACATATTTATGTGTAAAATATTATACACACACACACACACACACACACAAACACTGTGGAATGATCAAATAAGGCTAATTAATACACCCATCACCTCACATATTTTTTGTGTGTGTGAGAACATTTAAAATCTATTAGCAATTTTTAAGTATAAAAAATTATTATTAACCATAGTCACCATAGTATGCAAAGATCTCCAGGACTTACTCCCCCATCTCACTGAAGTCTTGAACACTTTGACGAGCCCCTCCCCATTCTATCCTATGCCCTGACCTGTGCATAACCACCATCCTACTCTCCGCTTTCATGAGTCTGACTATTCCTCACTCTGGGACGTACTCCACACGATTTCAACAGATAGACTCTGAGTTTGGTTCTATACAGTCACCAGAAGGAAGCAAGGGGTGGGAGGCCTGCCTAAGTCAGAGGCTGATGAACAGCAGTGCCAGATGATCTGCAAGGCCGTCCCTCTCCACAGTTACCTCAGGGGCAAAGTCTTTCAGCAGCTCCATTTCATACCCAGGATATCCCAGTTCACTGCCAGAGGCAATTGTTTTTTTGTTTTTTGGGTTTTTTTGCTGGGGATCAAACCCAGTGCCTCCTGCATAACCAGCCAACTACTCTCCCACGAAGCCGCTTCCCAGTCTTTCCTTTTAAGCCCAATAATCAACTATCCTAATGACTGAAAACACAGCTATGTGAATAATTGATTTTGAAGAGGCAAAGGAATGATTCATGTATCCCTCCATTTCTCTGGCTTCAGAGAGACTAGAAAATGAATTAAGTATCAGGGCTGGAGCACAATACCCCAGGTCTTTTGAAAATCTGTTGCCAATAAAAAGTGACATGGCAGGTTGGGGTGTGACTCAGTGGTAGAGTACTCGCCTAGCATGCATGAAGCACTAGGTTCAATCCTCAGCACCACATAAAAATAAAATAAAGATATTGTGTCCACCTAAAACTAAAATATAAATTTTTTTCAAACTGACATGGCTTTTTAGAGCAACAGTTATTAAGGATAGTTTGGGGATTCCTGCGGTCCTTAGGACCCTTCAGGGAGTCTGTAAAATCAAATACAACTAAAATCTGTGTTTTCATACTAATAATAAAATATTATTTCCTTTTAACTCTTACTGTCAAGAGTGGGCAGTGGGATTTTCCAGAGACATCTGACATTGCAACTTGAAGCAGAGATGAGAATCTAATTGGGCTTTTATTAAATCCAGGCATTAAAGAGATTTATAATGTCTACATTACTGTTACTTTGGGAATTAGCTGCTTTTCTTTTAAGATGTGTTATTTAAACTAATACATATAAAGTTAAAAACTTTGTTGTTTTTAAGTGAATGAATAATTATTTTCTAATTTTTCATTTTAATTTATAATATAGTAAATATTGATAGATAAAACTTGTCAGGTCGATGAAGGTGAATTAGGAACAAAGCACCAGGCAGCCTGCAGGTGAAAGAAACACCCATCAGGCACTGAGGGAACCGCAGTCTCCTGGCCAACCCTGGATCTCGGCCAGTTCTCCCCACCAACTCCAGTGGGACAAGGGACTCTAAGAGCCCCTTTTCCTGTCCCAAGCCCTCCCTTCCTGCCCTAAGCCCCATCAAATTCCAGTCCTGTGGATCCCCTAAGCGGTTTCTCCGCAGACCCTCTTATCCGCTCTGTGGGTCTGACAGAGTTCCGCCCAGGAGTAGGATCTCAATAAATCCTCATAAGAGGCTTTTTAAATCTGCCTCCTTTTGGTCACCACCATGGCCTGACCTTACAAAACTCGCATAAAAAAAAAAGTTCTTTGGGATCCACAATAATATTTTAAAGTGTAAATATTTGATGCCCTATTTTAGGGCAACATTTCTTTATTTCTACTTTTCTCCTTTGTTAATGTAAACAAGAAAAGTAATTCTTAGTTTATAAATTTATAAATTATCTCTTCTTCAGATAAACAGAGCCATCTTTAGGATTATCCAAGGCCTTCCACCTATATCAAAGCAATCAAGAGAATCAGGCTTGCTTGAGTGATCCAGTGAAAGTTTTAAATTGGTCTGTGAGTTTATTTTAATACTTTTTAAAATACTTTTAATTAAACCCAGTAAACTTTTAGTCTGTTTCTGCTTCTTCTGTCCCCTCTTCTAGAAGGCAAGCCTAATGTCAGGGTCTGGGCCTCCTTCCTTCTGAATGCACAGCATGTAAAAGCAAGCCCCGCCCACGAGCACACTCACCTCATCTCCTAGAATCCCTAGTTTGTAGAAGGTTACTCCAGCCACTGCGGCCTCTGAATCTTTGATGCTCCTCAGTCACATCCAACACTCTCTTACTCCTCTCCACTCCTGCTGTATCCTCTGCCTGCAGTAGTCTTCCTCTAGCTCACTTATGGCTGCCTTCTTCCTTCAGCTTTCTGCACCACTATTCCATTCCATGAGGTTCCCTAGATATAGGGTGTGAAATGGCTCTTCCTTCCCTGACCCTTTCACTCTTCATACCCTTACCCTGATTCATGTTTCTTCACTTAGTACTGCCTGACATACTATGTAACATATTTTATTGATTGCAAGATACACATTAGTTTATTGTGTAAATATTTTGTTAATATTTATTTTTTAGTTGTAGTTGGACACAATATCTTTATTTTATTTATTTATTTTTATCTAGTGCTGAGGATCGAACCCAGGGCCTTGCACGTGCTAGGCGAGCACTCTACAGCTAAGCCACAACCCCATCCCTCAGTTTTTGGGTTTTAACAGAACTGAAATATAGAATCTCTTAAAAACTGATGATGTCTTAAAAGTGCCATAGGTCTAGACTAACACTGAGTTCTCCCACAGGAGGGCTGTGTGTGCTTCTCCCAGTGCAGGAACCTTACCAGCCTGAGACACCCTGAAATTAAGTTCTGTTTAAGGATTTTGTTTTTACCATATGAGCACAGTGAATTAGACAACAAACTGATGACTATGATTTGTGGTTCATATTCTCAGGGAAGGTATTTTTCCTCCCCTTAAACAGTGCCAAGTTTAAGACATTCATATTTTCTTGCTGAGCTTTTCTTGTCTCTATCTTTTAATTGAAGATGCAGGCTATTGGTATCCCTATTAGACTCTCTTTCTTGGTGGTACATCAGATAACAGCACATCTTACAGGTGAGATGGTACATCAGATAACAGCACATCTTACAGGTGAGATGACAACTCAGATTCTATGAAGCAGGCTACATATTTGTTTTCTGTCTGTCTCCCCCACTACAGTATAAGATCTGTGAGACCAGTGACTTGGACTGTTTTATTCATTTGTAGTACCTTCAATACCAGGTATATAGTAGATGCTCAACAAATATTTAGTGAATGAATAAATAGTACACAACCCAAAATATTTGTTGAATTAATAAATGAATATGCTAGCTGGGCACATTGGTGCATGCCTGTAATCCCCATGGCAGGAGGTGGCTGACGCTGAGGCAGGAGAATTGCTGAGGTCAAAGCCAGCCTCAGCAACTCAGTGAGGCCCTAAGCAACTCGTTGAGATCCTGTCTATAAAACACAAAAAACGAGCTGGGGATGTGGCTCAATGATTGAGTGCCGGTGGGTACAATCCTTGGTACGAAAAAAAATTTTTTAAAAATTAATTAATATGCTAATTTTAACTTGGGAACAAAAAAGGAATTCTGGATCATATTACCATTTATAATATGGGATGGGGGGACTACACGAGTCAATCTGAATAATTTCCTTGATCTTTTTTTTTAATTTTTAATATTTATTTTTCAGGTTTCGGGACTACACGAGTCAATCTGAATCATTTCCTTGATCTTTTTTTTTAAATTTTTAATATTTATTTTTCAGTTTTCGGCAGACACAACATCTTTGTTTGTATGTGGTGCTGAGGATCAAACCCGGGTCACACACATGCCAGGCGAGCTCGCTACCGCTTGAGCCATATCCCCAGCCCCATTTCCTTGATCTTACTGTGGCATCTAAAATTGAGTGTCAGGCTGGGGGTACAGCTCAATGGTAGAGGGCTTGCTAGCATGTGCAAGGCCCTATGTTCAATTCCCAGGATCTCAAAAATAAAATAAAACCAAGTCTTTGCCTTTGAATGTGTTATTTTGAACACATGGTTCTACTTATAAATTTTTTTAAAACTGGACATGCAACAGCCACATAAATTTATGTTCACATTAGCATTTTATGTCCTGGAGGATTACTGAAGGGTATTTTGGGAAAGAAAAATTGCAAATCACTTGATGGTGGTGATAAGTCACGTAGAGGAAAAATCTCCAAGTTAATTTAAGCTTTTTGGTTTGTGCTGAACTGGAACAGGGAGGACAGCCCAAAGGGTGGGGAGAGCCTGGCCAGCCTCACTAAAATGACAGAGAGTTTTGTTGCTTCCATTTCCTGTAGACACAAAATACAAGCACTAAGCTTCCAGCATCAGACTTGCTGGATTTTTTTCTTGACTCCCAAGATTTTAAATTAAATTTCCTTTGGTCTAAGAATGTTCTGTTTCTACTTCAAAAAAATATATTTATTTTTAGGAGGATAAAACCATTCTGTGCCAAAATCTACCTCCAAAGAGCCTTCAAATCAACATATGCAAAAAAGGAACAGAGGCAGGAAGATAGAAAGGAGTGGGGGGGGGGCTTGATGAGAATGTGAACTGTCTCACATAACCAAAGCCTTGAGGAAGGTTGTTATATACAATAATTTAGCAGCTCTAAGCACAAAACTCAAAACCTCTATTCCTGGGACTGGGATTGTGGCTCAGTGATAGAGCACTCGCCTCGCACATGTGAAGCACTGGGTTCAATCCTCAGCACCACATAAAAATAAATAAACAAAATAAAGGTATTGTCCATCTATAACTAAAAAGAAAAAAATATATATATATACATATATAAAACCCTCTATTCCTGGTATGAGAATAAGCTATAGTTATGGAAACTTGGGCAAATTATTGAACTCACTGTTTCACTTCTTCATCTTAAAAAAAAAAGTAGGTATTTATTTCATTAGGGTTGAAGATTAAATGAGATAACACACTTTAACACCTGGTATAATATTTAGCAAATAGGAATATTTGATATTTTGATATTATCATTACTATTATTATCATTATTACAGATAAATGTTTAATAAAGTATGAGTATTATTATCACCAACTATATTATAATATTAATCAAATTATTTCATACACAAAAAAAGAAAAAACTTATAAATATAACTCAAAAAGTTAAGAGATTTTTAAAATGCCTTTTGTGTGGGGCATGGACACCACAGATTTTAAATAACATACCATGAAACTATCAATTGGACTACAATATCTATTAGCTCTGTGTTCATCAATTATTAGAGTCACTAATTACTCCATTCATGTTTGGTTTTCTCTCATTCTAGACTTCAGAATTCTGCTATACACTCTGATATCAGTGATGGTGGGTAAATGTGATGGACAGGGAAGGAAATTATAACCTACAGTAACCTAGAGGTTATCATAATGGTTTAATTTGAAAATTACATGACAAAAAAATCGCCTTTAATTGTCTGTGTACACATACACATAGTTTAGGTTAAAAAAAAAATACATTCTCTCACAAGTCCACCTGGAGTCTATTTCAAGTGTTTTCACACTTGAATAAAATCTTCAGGAGCAGATTAACAACAACATGACACTAGATTATTTGTTGGTTTTATTCTATGAGAGTAAAAGAAAAATTTATAATAGATCTGACATTGTCCCCAGGCCCATTTAAGGCTGATTAATTACTTGTCATCCCTCTTAAACTGCTGTCTGCTTCTTTCACCAATTCACCAATTTATTCTCAGAAGATAAAACTTCTGAATGCACTTTATCCAAAACAGTTTTTTTTCCCTACCTGTGGCGCGAGGGATAGGGTGCTAGATCAGAGATGGCCTTGGTGATTTCTAGATCTTCATTCTCTAGAAAATAATGGAAACAAAGAATCAATATCTGAAAGGGAACCCAATTATAATTATCTGTAACTTAAAAAAAAATACTAGCAGTTTCAACCAAAAATATTTTGGGCATAAACTTTATATTCTCAGAGTCCCAGAACAAAAATGACTCAAGACATCACATCAAAGTATTCTCAAACCATCAAAACTCATTCATAAAAAAAGATAAGTCATTTTGCAAAACAAGTCCTCACAAAATCAATCCTAATTCAAGAATCATAATTCTCATAAAGTAGGCAGAACACAGAAGGCAGACTGGAATGTACAATGAAATGAACTGAATTCAGTGTCAAATTACAGAGTGTCACTTCTACATTCAATAAGCTCAGGTTACTGTATCCAATGTCAAGTAAAGGACTTTTGTGATTTAATTCATTTATTCATTACCCATGATTTCTTGAATGAGTAGGTACCCTCAATAAATATACAAGTGAGGGCTAGGGATATAGCTCAGTTGGTAGCATGCTTGTCTCATATACACAAGATCCTGGGTTCAAACCTCAGCATCATTAAAAAAAAAAAAAAAGAAAGAAAGATAAGTGAAATGCATAATGAAGGTCATGCTCCCAAGCTCTGGACAAGCTTGGTGTTACTGTTGCCATCTTGCAGGTAAGAAAACTAAGGGGGAGAGACTGTGCTCTTAAACATCAGGTGTTACTTAGTTTTGTGGTTTACTTGTTCAGCCTTTCCCTGTACACTCAGATAAAATCTGGTTTTCTACATTTAGATAGCCATTAGTTCAGTGCCCTCTGGTCAAGACAGAAAGAAACTGAAGCCCCAAGTCCACTTTCTAATACAAAAATGAAATGTTTTTGATTTGGGTGGTACGGGGGATCAAACCAGGGACATTATGCCACTGAACTATATCCCTAGCATTTTTTTTTTTTTTGAGACACAGTCTCACTAAGTTGTCCAGGCTGGCCTTGAACTTGCAACCTTCCTGCCTCAGCCTCCTGATTACAGGATTACAGGTGTGTGCTACTGTGCCCAATTAAAATAAAACTTAATGAGGTAAACCTCAAACACTGAGAATGTCATAAAAGTGAAAATGACAGGCAAATACTTGTGATCCAACCTTAATCTAGTTTCTATTTCTTGTATACAAATAGCCCTATATTTCTTTCTTGTCAATTTATAGTCTCGAGGGTAGAAACATCTTGAGCTCAGGCTACCCATTTTCCTCTCAACAAAAGAACTGAGTCTAAGATGCTTGTCAGCTATTCCCCAGTTTCTGCCACTCTGTGAACAGACCCAATTCCCTGAGGGATAATGAGAATAGAAAGTTCTTCCCTATGCTGACTTAAGTGAAAACTGCTTCCTAATAAATTTACTCTGCAATCACTCCTCCCCACAACACCCTTTCAAAATATTTGTAGTCTGCCGTCACACTTCCCATAGGTTGCTTTTACCGGGGCTGGCCATCTCCACATCACAAGGCCTCTACTATGCAGGTCCTGTTTCATTGCTCCACTTCATTTGTTCCACTCAAAGTAAGGGGCTAAAACAAACAGCCATTTCAGATGTGCTCTAACCCATGCAGGGTACACCAGCAATAACCTCTTACTAAGGACACAATATTTTTTGGTATAACACCCCATCCAAGCACTAGATTTTTTTAACTGCTAATTTACTCTGTTGGCCTAAATAAGTCAATCAAAGTTTCAGGGTTTCTAAAATCAACTTTTTCAAGCCCACTCCAACTTATGTTCTATTTTTGAGATACACTTTTGGAAAATAACTAACTTATTAACTTATTTTCAGAACTTTATATACCCATCTTATTTATTTCAAATTAAATTTTTGAAATTATGCCCATAATGCTTTGCTCATTGTATAACAAATTAAATATTGATTAAAAAAATTTTGCATCTGCCCTTCCAAACTTTGCCCTTTAAAAAACTTTTTAAATATACAAGTAATCCAAAATTCACAATAGAAAAATCAGGAAATACTGATAAACAAAATAGCCACAGAAACACCAATAACCATAACTCCACTAACCAAAGATAGCTACTATTAACAATTTGATGTATATCCTTTCAAAAATTTATTTACATATTTATACATATAAGCACATAGGTAACAGCTGGCATTATGTATGTATATGTGTGTGTGTGTGGGGTGTATATATATATATATATATATATAGAGAGAGAGAGAGAGAGAGAGAGAGAGAGAGAGACATTTTTCATGAAAAATTTTCAGGGACAGTAAAAAATAAAGGCTATCTCATCGTTTTAAACAGCTGCATCTTCCACCTACTAGTTTTGGCAATCAATCATGATCATTGTCTAAAACTGATAGATAATTTCATTAGAATCTGGAAAACTGTTTTTTCAATTCTAGAAAGCACTTATTTATTGTAATTCTTATATTAAAAAATAAACTTCTCCTCATCAACTATTTGGCTGTTATAAAATACTCATAAAAGAAAAGTAGGATGAAGAATTGATTCTAGGAGCCAGGCACAGTGGTAAATGCCTATAATCCCAACAGCTCAGGAGGCTGAGGCAGGATGATGGCAAGTTTGAGGCCAGCCTCAGCAACTTAGCAAGGCCCTAAGCAACTCAGTGACAGACCCTGTCTTAGAATTGAAAATAAATAAATAATAAGGGTTGGGGGTGTAGCTCAATGGGAGAATGCTTGCCTCACTTTGTGAGGCACTGGGTTTGATCCTCAGCACCACATAAAAATAAATAAATACAGCTAAATTGTGTGTGTGTGTGTGTGTGTATACATCTTCAATCACATGTATGTGTATGTATATATATACATACACACACATATATATATATATACACACACACACATATACATACATATGACTGAAGATGTAGCCCAGTGGTAAAGCACCTCTGGGTTCAATCTCTAGTACCAAAAAGAGAAAAAAAAAAGAAAGAAAAAAAGAATTGATTCTACACCAACTATCAAAATACTGAGTTAGATTCATAGGTGAAGAATGATTTTTTTTTAAAGTGCCATTAGAAACGTGGATTTTAACATATTTTATGTGTTTCAAGATTTCCTAGCTTTGCCTATGGGAGCTCCTTAAAATTGGCTCTTATGTCCCTTTAACATGACTCAAGTAGTCTTGCTTAAAGCACAAGTTCCAGGCTCCTCTTATAAACGCCGTGCCCCAAAGCTGGAATCAATCATTTCTCATGTGTCCTACTTTTGTTCATGTGACTCAGCATTTAGAAACTCCACCCTCATGCTGGGGATATAGCTCAATTGGTAGAGTATTTGCCTCCCACAAGGCCCTGGGTTCAATCCCCAGCACCACAAGAAGGAAAAAAGAAAAAGAAAATCTACACTCATAAATGGCTAGATGCCATTATCGGGGGAATGGATTAATTATCCTGGGGATGGGTTAGTTATCATGGGAGTGGGTTTCTGATAAAAGGATAAGTTCAGTCACCTTCCCCATCGCTTATGTGTTCACTTCAGTTTCCTGCCTTGAGATGACACAGCAAAAAGACTCTCACAAGAAATGACTTTGAATTTCCCAGCTTCCAGAAGTGTTTAAACTCTTTTGTTCTTTATAAATTACCCAGTCTCATATATTGTTATTGTTAGACCAGGACGAAAGAAAAGACCACTGACTCCAATTAAAATCAAATTAAAACAAGCTTATTATTTTGACCAGCCGGGCTGCCTCTCCCAACAAAAACCTCGGGAACAAGACAGCCCAGCAGCTTTCTTGCAGCCCAGCTTTATAGCCCAGAAAGTTAAACAAAGGAGGGTTACAGATAACAAAACTTTGATGAGCATAACACAAATGGTAGTTTACATTTTTGCTGGCCCCGGCATCAGAATTTATGAAGGTCATTAGAGCCTCAGTTCTAATAGAGAAACCTTTAATTATATTACTCAGGGATGGATAATCATAATAGCAAACACCAAGCTTACCTGTGTAGGTTAGTAATATCTGTAGGCCTTAAACAAAACTTCTGTCTCTGGCAGCTCCTCTTGATAGTCTCTTTTTATAGTTATCAGGCAATTCTGTCTGAGAATCCTTCTTTGTAGCCTCCAGTCTTACTTATTTTGGGAGGCTAACATAAGGTGTATACCTTAAATAATAATAATAGTAATAATAATAATAATAATTTTAAATGTCCTGGAATGGCTGTGTTTTGGTTTTAACTGTCTTTGCTAATTGTTTAAGATGAAGCAGTAAAACTGACTTTTGTTTCTATCTATTGTTAACAGTCAGCTGAGTTTTTATGGGAGTCATTCCTGGGGAAACTTGAGAGCAGCTTCTCAGTTCTGCTAGTGCCATTTGTGCTAGGATGGGTCCAGGTCTTGCTTGACCATGTGGCTTTCCTTGGAAGCCTCAGGGATGTCTCCCTCTCCAATGACCCTCCTCTTTATAACAAATGCACTGATTGGCTTTCTGTTCTCCAGTGGTCTCATTAATCTCCCTGATCGGGAGGTTATGTGGCCCAGAGTTGCAAAGCTCTTTAGAGAAGTCCCCTGTTCCCTGGATTCAGATTAACTCAGAGGGCAAGAGCCAAATATTGGTTTTCTTGGCCCTTTTAATTTAACTTTAATTTTAAAACATAATCTTAAACATCCAGAAAATAAATTTTAACAGCCTTATATTAAGAGTACTGGGCTTTAATGTCTATAACTTTACAATTATTTATCTTTTTTATTTAATTGGGGTCTGTATTATCCTATCTATCTTGTAGGTGATGACTTATTATTTAAATTAACACAGGTTATGTTCTTAAGGGAGGTTTATTGCTTTGCTAACAAAGGAGAAACAGTTCTTAAAGCAACACCTTTGCAAAACACAGGGACTCTTTAGATCATTTATAAGGAAATTACAAAATAAAATTAACAAGAGTAAAACATATTTAGTTCGTGTAATAGGTATCCTGAATTTTGGCTGAGTTACATATTATATCCCCTGTTTGAGATCCTAGTAATCTTGACAGAAAAAAAAAAAACTTTTGAACATAACTTTATTTTTTTTTAA